CGAACCTACGACCTTTGGAATACTAGCCCAATGCTCAGAGTAACATCACAAACATCATATTCACCTGAGTACACAACACCAACACAGAAAAATCGTATTACTAGATTACACTGGTATCGAAGGAACTAGATTCTGTTCCGAAATATCACTTACTCGAACCGTCCTGACCGCGTAGCTCAGTTGGCAGAGCATTGGGATAGTATTCCAAAGGTCGTAGGTTCGATTCCCACCGTGGCCGGGCATATTTTTCAAGCTCGCCCGGTGTGGATATACACTCAGAGTAACATCACAAACATCATATTCACCTGAGTACACAACACCAACACAGAAAAAATTCATTGCATCAGCTTCCTATAATATGAATGTTCTATATAATTATTATCAGTGATAGTATAGTCTATAGGCTGCTTTTTATGCTTTCATTTCCAGTTACGCGATTTTCACACGTACTATACGCACGGAAAAGTTTAAATCTTTTCTTAAATTTTATAAGTACTAATTACTCTCTACAATTACACATCAAATCGTACACAAAACTAGTAAATACCGTCCTTTTATTCATTTCGTTATTTTATGAAACACATTTAAATGGATTTAAATTTTGATACGTGCGTATGAAAACTGCTTAATTGGAAAGCATGAATTTGTAAAGGTGAACCTGATGCGTGCATGCATGGGGGCAGGTCCGTGACTATATAGCTAGCTCATCAGTGAGTCGACTGAGTCACTCGGGAAGAATTTTCGTGAAAAAATTTAAAACAGGAAGACTTGAAGTTCAAAGAAGGTGAAGGGCAGAAGTACCACAAACACTTTTTGTAATTGTGAGCTGATATAAAATTATAGTCCTTGCATGTGTGATGACTGAGTTATACGGATTGGTATTTTGTTAAAACTGCTCTCAGAATGTAGCGTTTTTAACCATAAAGAAACCGCGGTAAATCTAAATGAATTCTATAGCCTTAGTTATGGGCCTGAACAGGCTGAAGAGGCTTGGTCAAGGGTTACATTTTCTTGGGACTTAAAAACAATTTAGACAATTTTATTGTTGTCGAAGGTATCATGGTTTATAAGAGATAAATCTAGAGATAAAAACTATACTCTATAGATGCATGGTTGAGGCCACTAAATATCGTAAATTTACAAACCCATCGGTACGCCTGCAATCATTCTGCGCATGTGTGTTAAACGACATCCGAAATAGAAAGGGTATATAGCCTATAGGAAGGCAATGTAAAAGAATTCAAAAGAGATAATAAGATGAAAATGATCCAAAGATGAAAATTACTAGACTACGAATAATATACGTCATGCTAAAACGGCAAATGTTCCTCAAAGCGCGCAGAGACTATGGGGTATTGGCATAAATTATAACTATATACCTATTAAAAAAAAAACATTTAAAATAGTACTGTACTTTTTATATTTATAACACCTTCACTGATTTACAGCTTACCAACCTTACTTATAGGCAGACTGAAACAGAGCCTATACTGTATATATAATATAGGCTTTAGTTTGTATTTACCTACTGTAAAAGTTTATTTATTTTGTTCATTCAACTGAAAAATGGAACTATGGCTTCCTTAATATGGCATAGCACCAGTATAGATATGTTTCTCGTGGCATAACACTGTCAACAAAATATACAAGTACTGCACTGTCACATTGATACTCATGGATGAAAATTCGGACAGAATTTCTTCAGAATTTCATATTTTGGCTAAGTTGGCTAACGCGAATACTGAATACCCTCAGCTTAAATACTGAAGAAAAATATTCTTCCACTCTGCATGAACATTAATACAACTTCATTATGGTTTAATACAGAACTATGGTTTAATACTGTAGTATTTTGTAACAGAATCCAGAATCTAAAACTCTTCAAGCTCAATTAATATATTGCCATTATTCTGACGGAACATTGGTGAGGAAAGATTACTGCAGTTCATACTCTTAACTTAAAGGGAGTTTTGTTTCACATTATATGATCTGAAACATGCCATTAGATCCTTTAAAATGTGGAAAATTCACAATGTTCCTCAATCTTGTTCCTCAGGATCCCGAGATCCCACTTTTTTCCAGGTCTGATCAAGATTACATTGGGGCTAACTTGCTCGCGAACTTCTAAAAGAAACTATCTTTAACTTGATATGATCAATGACAATGTTGTTTTTTACAATTATTGCGTCGTGGAACTGAAGATTAAGTAAAATGAACTACTAAAACCATTGCAATGACGTTCACTGTGTGACGCCCTTCCGAAGAGAAAGCCCGAAAGGTGTCATGTCGTGTTTGAATTATGCCATGATGCCACATAAGCTAGGTTACTGGTGGTGGCATCGATCCTGGCATCCTTATAACGTAATCCTAATGGTACATGGGCGTCGTCCTCTATCATGTTGATTTATTATGTTCACAACGCTAAACTATTGATCCTAAACTATTGATATCGTCCTCTATATGCATGTTCATAACGCTAAACTATTGATTGCAATGCTCCTATTTCATCCCGTGATTAGACAGAAAGACTGTCGTGATATGTTTGCCTTTCATTCAATATTGACATGGTTAAACACAACAGGACATTAGTATATTTATTTAAATAATTAATCTAACTTTAAGCTTTTCTTTACAATAATCTATTTAGTTAATTAAAGTCATTAATTAGATTTTAATCGTGCATGGCGCTCATTTCCTGCACGCAGAAAGAATTAAGGTAACCTAAAAACAACAGAAGTTGAAAAAGGGCTTCAAATGCAAAGCTCGAGCAGAGCATTCGCTGCTTATAATGCACACCACATTATAGCAAGATAAAACTAAGGAGAATGCATGAGAATAATTTATTACCTTTGTTTATAAGTAATATTTTCAACATAAATAAGTTTGTACAAATATAATTAGACTTAATATACAGGTAACGTAGCCAACTAAAGTATAACTTTACAGTCAGGGCAATGGAAGTTAAGCACCGAGTCAGTTGCCTCAAACATTTTTTTACTTATCCTTCAAAACGTAGAATTTACCCATGCAAAATTTCTGCTGTGATCACATGCATAAACTTTGATAGAGTGAACCAGTCTTTAGTTAGCTTTATTATATATACACTCAGTATATACAATCATATAATCAAGGATAAACGCCTTAACTTTTTGCGCTTCCTGGAGGCAAAGTGCCAGAGGGACAGCCATTTCTCCTTCACACTATCACAGTAAGTGGTATGAATTTCGTGCTTGAGCTTTGGCCTCTTCCTGTTTTTGACTCAGTTTCTCTGTAGTCGGTATGAATGAGATCCCTCAGTTCGACCCTGTGTGGTAATTTATGAACTTGAAACTTCTTTACAGTAACTTCCTTCTCGACATCCGCGTGCCTTTGCATACAGAGAACATCCTAACCTGAGGTAATCGAAATATAACTGTAGGACATCTTATTCACCTGCACACTCACAATAGTGTTCCCTGTGGTTCTTTTTGATAACCTGGGAATATCCTGCCCATACTATACATCGCAACCTTTACTTTCTAATTGAATAAGAAATTACAGGAAATTAAAATATCAAGACATTAATCATTATTCAACTGCACGCTATGATGCAAAATATATGAATAACTTTTACAATATCACATAAATCTATAATTTTCTTTACCGCGTGTGTGGCTTTACGCACGATATGGTAGTACCTGCATCTATGTAGTTTCTATAGTTTCCACAGAGTTTAGGGGTGACTTTGCAATATACAGTCAATTCAAAAAAGGTTCATGTCCTTTGCAAAACTCTAAGCGCGCAAAGCTTAATGGGAGCACAAGTTTCAAGCTTATAGTAGTTGAATATTTCAGCTATTTGTGAATGATTTGTTCTCGTAAGGAGATATTTACCATGCCTCTAAGAAATGGGTTCCATATATGATTTCTAAACTATAAATGATGCTACCATTATGCTTTGCACGCTTAGAGTTTAAGGTTTAGAGTTTAAAGTTTGCAAAAGGACAAACTTTTTTGAATTGGTTGTATACAGAACGAAACTACAAAGAAACTTGAACGGCAATATAATAATGATAGTTCACCTTAAAAAAAATTATTAATCGCGGCTCTGATAGAGGAAATATGTACACATGCAATTACACTGCATTTATACATTATTAAGTACAAATTAGCATCTTCGGCGTTCTCATTGTTATAGACGTTATAGAATAGGATAGGATAGAATATATATAGAATAGAGTATATTTGTTGAAGATGCGTTCTTGATGGTAGACTGTTGTGATGGCTTATATATATGAGATTCTTGTCAGATCTAATTTGGACGTGGAACATGCATGATTGTATTGAGATTGTATTTACTTTAATATAGCGTGACACATCTTTTTTTTTTAGTTTACTTTCCTTCGAAAGGTGCCCTATAGGTATATTTTATTATGGTGCATGTAAGAAATAAATGTTTCAAAAGAGTATTCGGTATAGACTGTAGTTAATTTCCTCGTTTGATATCCTGCAAGCTGATTTCTCAGTTTTCTATTTCCTTGCCCACAACAGAACTGGAGGTAAATTGATTGACATTTCTCGCGCTTACGTGTGAATAAACATGTTTGTAGCAGGTCACCGCATTTTGTTTGGCTGATGCCACCTAGTGATGCCGCTTCCTTTGTAACCAAGACTGAAACGGAGTGTATAACGCGTGGATAGTTTGTATTCGTTAAAATAAAGATTACTATCTTCAAGACGAAGATATCTCCAAAATCAAGATTTAAGTTAAAATCAAGATTTTTATCTCCAAGAAGCTCGATATAAGAAGGTATGCAAATATCGATCAGGATATCACAACATGCATGGAACAAACGTGCGCTCAGAAAGAGGAGAGACATGACGCGCACGGTAGACACTCATTTATATAAGATTAATGGTTTAGGGCTCTTTTTAAAATAGTTGTTTGGGCCCAGAATATCGATTGCTCCCTGTTTGGGCCAGTGACAGTGTTGCCACTATAACTACAAGCAAAAGAGAAAGCTCAGTGAAAACCTGTTGTTTTGGTTGAGTCAGACTCAGTCATGAGTGATCAGGTAAACATATTGCCGACTCAGAATGAGAATTAAGATCTTATCTCCGACATCTGGACTGTCTATATCAAATTTTGTACTTTACTTGAAAACCTCTATCTATATTCTGGTCGATTTACATGAACTATCTAGAGTAGTTTAGCAGTAAAAATAGTCATGCAGACTGTTCAATATTATGGAGAATTATGAAACGTTGAAAATATCATGCAGGAAGATTACCAGTTTAGGCATGAAATTACGCAGTAGAGTTTCTTTCCTAAAATTAATTTTAATATTATTTTGAAAACTTCCTAATATCTTCCCACTATAATACAGGTTTATCATCTTGTCTTTGTGACGTACAATCACTAGACGTCAACCGACGATTCTTATATGCATGGTATAAAGTTTGGCCAACTTTTTCTAAAATTTTGATATTCTTTGGAAATATTTATGCCATAAATAGTGGCAAGCTAGACGTAGCAACAGGTCATGCCATGCAAACGATTTGCATTATTCAAACCTTTCGAAATGTATTAATTGTCTCTAACCTACGTATACTGCAGAGCATACTGTGCTATATATATACTGTGCTATTAGCATATAGTATATGACCTGCAGTTGCCATGGCTAGCTTCGCCATTGCCATAACGAAGTCGGATTGGAACTTGATATAGATGTACGTAAAGAATTTAAGCGGTAGTAGCGCTACCATTTATGAAAGTTGCCTATGTTGATTTCTTCCAAAAATTACAGTTGCCATAGAGTATTTTAATTGAACCACAAAACAATATAGACACTTCGTAAATTGTTAATGTTTTGTTTCTCTACGTTTCGACTATATATATATTTTCCTGAAGATGACTTAAATATATAGTCGAGAAACCGGTTAACAATTTACGGAGAGTCTATTGGTTTTTGTTTAATTTATTTCTATCTTTCTATCAGACTTCATGTACAAGAGTACTCGTGTTGCTGGCAGGGAGGAACAGCTTAATGTCACTCATCTCACATTTCTAATAATTATCACGATTTAATGTTTCTTATCTTCGTAAACTTCACGTACACAAGAGTGATGAGCGTACATTACAACACATTGACCTTCCTATATCTAGGAATTATCGTAATCAAGTAAATTCCCTAAGCCAAGGCTACAGGCAAAAGTATATTAATCATGTTTTGTTTTTGCCATGCAGTTACAAATATTTGATGTATGATTATTATATTCATACTATATTGTGACAGCAAGAATATTTCGCAATTTAAGAATATTTTGTTTATATTTGAAATTTGTTGAAAAACATGCATTCAAGTGTTTATCAGTTGACTTATGTCACGATATTATATTGGTAGGATTTTTAGATTGAAAATATGGCATGTTATCGACGTTGCGGCCCTGAAGCAAAGGATCTCAAACATTAACACATATACTGGGGTAAATATGATAAGGTGGGCAGTAGAATATTCATCGTAACTGCAGGCATGAGGATTGAGGAGGGATTGGGTGAAAAAATTGCCTGGGGTATAAACATGAGCCAGGATAAATATATTGAGAGTCTTTATAGATGAGCCAGGATGTACGTTGAGAGTCTTAAAAAAACCTGAGGGAATAATGCAGCAAGACAAGTTTTGTTACAAGAGGAATAATACTTTTCTAATTGGCTCTTTTATTAAAAGTTGAAGGAGGCATATCACAGTATCACACTCCTTCCACAATTTCAGTGAGAGATTGTCACTATGCTAGTGCAGTTGACATTGCCACTGAAGGAAATCCTGTGGTTTTATCCATAATTCACATCTTGGCTATATTAATTCTACCCGGGCCAATTTTAAGTACAATCACTGCACCATCTCCAGTCTACATAAATGCCCCGGGCAACCTTATTACTAAAATATTCCCCTGTTGTAATTTTATGATATTCAATCAGTAAAATAACGTATAACACTGAACAACCCGTATTCCTAAGTTTATCTGTGAACTGGTCGTAGCTTTACCGCAGGCGCAGGGTGTGGCTCGAAATACGAGACTGATGTGAATTTTATCACATAAGCAGACACACTCACACCTAAAATACGTCAACCACCCACACCCTTGACATATCTTTGCAAGCCTCGTGTAATTTAAATTAATTTTTTTCCTGTTTCATTATGTGCTAGTTTCCATGCCATTCCACTGTATGTATCACAATTAAAACAGTGAACGACAGAATATGTTCAACGGTCTTGTGTCCAGCTACAATCACAGTCTATTATTTTGTACATTATACATAAAATAAAACTTTTATTCAATATTAAGCAAAAAAAGGTGCAGCAGTTGAAGCTAAAACTCACTACTAACTTTAATTGGCGTTGATATTTTGAATTTTGAGTAGACTCTTTCAACTTTGAAGTTTGGTTTAAGTGTCAACAAAACACCACCCAAATACAAAACAAAGACAATTAATTAGCCTTTCTCCTCGGAAGAGACACTGCGAAAACACATGAGAGTGGCAATTCTTGTCCCCTTTGAGTTCGCTCAGTGAAGCTATAACCACTATAGGGAGGAGAAAGGAGGTGTGAAGATAATTTTTTGGAGGCCTTTTCTCCACTCCTCAATTTGCTTATCTCTTATTTCTAATTATGATATGTTAGATGTTGACTGCATAGTGTAACAGCCATATCTTAAATTTAGAATAATATAATGGCTAATATCTTCATCAGAAATATGTCAAATATATACTTTCAACAGCTAAAGGCAGTAAAGCCAAACTGGAACGTTCTAAGTAGATCGTTTATCTGCACCTGAGTAAACATTGCAGTTAGGATCAACGGGCCTACAAAATTCAATAAACATACTGTCGTAAAAAAGAAGGATCTTGCTTTCATTAGCCTTTAACCATCAGACTTTACCAGAATTGGCAATTGATCTGGGAATTTATGCTCTGGTTCCTAACCCTCCAGAAACCTGAAAACCTTTGGCACCCTTGTGTAGAGATTTAAGGAAACGTTACTAGACTAAATTAAATATTTTTTTGAGGTGCATGACGACAGGGCCTCTTTTACGAATTTGTCAGTGGAGGGACCGTCAAGAAAAAGGGAGCTAACTAGACTAGGAGGTGTTGAACGAGAAAAGTGGAAATTTGTAGGGAGATCGGGGAATCCTCCCCCAGAACCTTTTTGTAATTTTAGGGTCTCCGAGGCTTGATTTTCGGCATTTTTTAACACAATTTCCTTTTTAATGTATATTTCATCCGCTAGACAAATCTCCGTCGGTCATGGGAATACTAAAACACTCTTCTTAACTTAACTATTCTTCCCTTTTGATGCCTTCACTGGGAGGACATAGTTCAGGGCCAAAACAGGACGGGAGGAAACAACTCCCCCTAGTCTATGGTATTAAAAGAGGCCCTGCATGCATGACGATTTTTACACATACTATATATAGTTCTCGATTTTACAAAACTACAAACGTAAACTGGATTAAAACACATATTTCTTCAGTAAGAACAAGATTATCAACAACATTGAACACCTAATTTCCTGTTCCTCTTATCCGTGGGCTCATTATGCTATTTATAACTTATCAATTTGCTGATATTGGCACTTCTTATCTTTTTATGACTTTACAAAGAAAAAAGTTTAAAAAACAACAAAGAATTATTGTATTTGTTTGGATTTAAGGAGAATCCACCAATATTTCTTATCTGAATCATGAGTTATTTTATATTTACCCGTAAAAGGTGAATCAGTTAATAATTCGTGATCAAGGACAAGCTGTCAAATAACTCGTAAGTGTGTCAAATAACTCCTAAGTGGGCTAATTTTTGCGAGAAACATTTCGTGAGGCGATATATGCGGGGTCTTTTGTATCAAACCAAAAGGTATATTGTTTTTATAATAGCTTTACTGACCATGTTACAAACTTAATACAGTTACAATGTGAGAAATGACTATAGTATCTCATGCCACAAGTCGTACCAGGCCAATGAACTGTATTTATTTATATTGCCTGTTGCCTATCACGGCCATTCACGGTCCTATTGATACCAAAATAATGATTGCTATATGACTTGCAGTTGAGATCTGTTTTTGGTTCCGCTTGGCTGTCTAGCTTTTCTTCAAAGTGAAAACATTAGTATTGTATTATTAGACCCACAGTCTTTAGGTCTATATGGCCATGACCATATACGTGTAGTTAATCTTGTCTACAGACAAAGTCATTATAGAGTCAAAGGACAAAGACTACAATTAATATAAGAGCTTTTTCTTTGAATGGAAAGTGTGTATGTAAACTATAGACGAACAAACAAACATGCAGTATTAGAATAATCTCCAGAATTAACGTAAGTGAGTGAAGTAAATTAATTACGTAGTTTTTACGACATTGAGTGTAGTAGTCTTTCGTGGTAGCTTATAATGAGTTTCGTCTTAACCTGTCGCCACTATTTAGTAAATGAATATTAAAATGCGCTGCGATTGAGACGATTTTAAGATACATTGGTTATTTATTTTCTAATGATGAACAGTTAAGCTTTGTTTTTATTTGGCGCTGTCAAGTTTATAGAAAGGTGTTTCAGACTTTGTCGGCACCGATCGCAGTTGTATTTAATTGTCTTAGAAACAGTCTGTGCGCGTGAAATGACGAGTGAGCAGACCAAGCTAAAGCGGACGTTGGTGGAATTTCCGCGTAAATGCGCGATGTTATTTACTCCACCTTATCTGTCTTGTTGTTACCAAAAATATTCGAAAAATTACAAATTATGCTTTGGGAATGACTGATTATTAAGTAGATAATACTTTGCTAGGTATTTCTGATGTTTACTGTGATATTGAACTAATAAGCTATGTTTGGCCATTACTTTGAAGTGACCTTTCGGAATTTGCTCATGTTTCGCCGACCTTCCCAGCTGGTGACGCGAAATCTTATATCCTTATATTAAGTTGGTAGCAGCATTGACAGTTGGCTTTCATCAGCATTGCTTCATTTTCATCTCATGCACTCATCGTATTGTTATTGAATTTTATAGATCGTCGGACATAGCAAGTTAACTCTGCGTACTTAACCTTGAACATTGACGTGCTGAAAAAGAACTCACTGCAATAATTAAAGGCACACTCCGAAATTTTCGCCAAAAATATACTGAGACAGTTTGTGGTAAAAATGAAACTGTTGTTTGTTACAACGGCATTGCTCTTCTTCCTCGGAGCCAATGAAGCTGGCCGCAAGAGGCTTCATATCCCATATGACATATTGTCGACAAGCGCTAAAGGTTGGGAGACTATCGCGAAAGCAACGAACATTTTAAAATTGTCCAGAGTTTTTCCTTCCGATCGCAATTTAATGAAACGCATTGCTTTGGTTGAATCATCTCTGAACAGAACATCGACTGAAGGTGGATTGTGGAACGTTGGGACATGCGCTTTCTGGGGAGTGACACAAAATCGGGAAAAGTATGGTAAACGATTGAAAAAGATTCAAAAAATGGTCGGACGGAGATTTGGAATAAGCTGGACCCGGATGACCTATGACCAGCTTCAACGTCCTATGTATTCGTTGATTGCTGCGCGAATGTATTTGTATATTATCTTGACAGACGGTATACCACGAGGAGCCACAGCGCAAAGCAAAGTTTGGAGTAATTATTACCGTAATTGTGGAGAATCTAAAATTACAGTCAGGAAACGTTTAACAAAGCGGTTTAAGAAAGGTAAACACATTTTATTATATTGTGATGAGTAATCAAAATTTGTGTGCATAAGTTTGTTGAATGTGACCAATAGTAATGGTTGCCCCGCAATTTATACAGTTTGATAACTTTCACGGTTATGTATGTTATACCAGTCCCGCGATGTTCTTATTGAGAAAACTTGTCAAAACAGCAGCCAGCGCCTTGGTGGTCGCAAGCCTGGCTGCGATTATCACACAGTAGTCACGCATAGTATTCATATTAAGCTCGCGCTATATCATGATTCGATATTATTTCATGTTTGCGCAAGATCGCGTACATAACAACACAAGCATGCATAGTTCAATGTGCTCTCACATGGCCCAATGTGCACATTAGGGTGTATATATAGTACAGTCATTAACAACGTATAATTCAAGGATTTCGTTTGTAGACAATTTGGCTCCATATTCAGGCTGTATCATGCTAAGATGTATATCAGCATCAAGTTTATCATTTGTGTTCACCTGACGAGCGTTATCTTAAGATAGGTATTTTATCATGCCGATACACAGACATCGAGTTATCTTGCCGAGTAAAATAAACAAATCTGACGCAGCCGTTTTCCTTCATACTGCGCTCTTAGTTTAATTGGATGAATAAAAAAATTTCAATTTTTGACTTTGTGTAGCCATTTTAATCTTGAGAGAATATTTCGTCAGTATTTATGAAAGGTTTAATATATCTCGACTTGTTCTTCTGGGCACAGACTTTTGCAATATGTTTTGAGTGTTGACGTCTGTTAAGAAGGTCTTGTTTATTACTCAATTTATTGAGTTATCGGCATGTCGCCGTGTCCGCAAGAATAACAGAGAAACAACAAACGTCGTATTTTTAACATTTTTTCGTTGCTAAGTATCATTATGTTTCACTGACTAATATCATTATGTTTTACATGCTAAATATCATTATGTTGCACATCTCTTATTCAGATACACAGACAAGGAAACAGTCAATTTTGACCTTGTGTAAGAATGAAATGAAGCCATAATTGCTTAAATAAATCCAGTTTTCTTTTCAAATATGCACCAATAACCAAACACTGTCTTTTGCAGTGGTTTTGTGCGGACATCTCTCTCTTTTCGCTCTTTTCTCTTCGTCTTTGTTCTTGTTAAAAAATCAAAACACTGCATGCGAAAGAAGATGGTGACTGAGAAAGACTGCTTTTTCGTGCTCATTCTACATCCAAAACTGCGAAATCAAGTTTCCCATGAAAAGCCAATACAGTACAATTGTAGTAGTATCAGGTTTTCTATGCATGGGCAGGGCTTTACTCTCTATAAAGAAGAAGGGTTAGTCCAGGAGAAATTCAAGAGTGGAAAGTGGCGAAGGAGTTCCAGAGAAAGAACACAATGGGCCTTTCTCCGAAGGCTCGAAAAGGCCCGTGACCCGAAAGGAAAGGGACTGAATGTTGCTTAGAGTCTACTATTTAGATTTTGGATCTCGAATACGAAAACCAGTTTGCATGTCTATTTCAGGATCAGTCAGAAACTTCTTTTAAACGCGTAATATATGCACGAACGGCTTTGCCTTTGCTTTCTTGTCCTAAATAAGGTTTATGTCATGGTTATCTTCATCTCAAAATGCGATCACAGTGTGGGTTTATGAAAGTCAGCAGTTTTCGCTTCTCGTCACTGATGTTACTCACATCTATTGTTCATCATGATGTGGTTTATTCCTGATCGGATTGTCTGTTGTTTATAATCTTATTTGAAAAACATCGAAAAGTCACGGAATGCATGGGAACCGGACTTGTTTGAAATATGGTCAAAACATGGAAATCTTTTCACTTCAGACTTGAAAAGTTTATTGTCATTGAATATATTTCATGTAACACCGACATTTCACTTTTGTTTAGTATTTACTCAAAGCGGAGCGAATCTTTCTGTTGACTTTTCAATCACTTCTGAGCCTTCCAGTTGTGATCTCAAAAGACACTGGGGATTAAATTATTATTAATGTGGGAATCCAAAGTAGCAAAGGACCTTGGTCAGGTTACTAATTCCATCGATCATGTGTGACGTCAAAAGACATATTATTGATATCGTGCTATAATTCTTCTTTTCATACCCTCTTGACATCTTCTCAGCCCAAGGATAAAGATCGTTCTTGAGAGTTTCCTTAAAACTTTATTTTTAGTCAGACCCCATTCTCGTACCCAGAGCCCTTCTTACGCGCGGTGTGACGAGGGGCTCTGGCCAAATCCATATCTGAACTGGCATCTGATTGGCTAGTTCTGACACCGGATATTGTTTTCTTACCATGTTTTTATGGTATCCGGTTATGGATTTGGCTAGAGCCCCTCATCGCGCTCCGTTGACCGCGCGTAAGAAGGGCTCTGGGTACGAGAATGGTCAGACCCATATTTATACACCAAACTCCTTCCCAGACCTCTTGTTCTTTTTGCTTGAAAGTTTACGACATTGTGGAATTGAGGCCGTGCAGCCATCATATCGAAATGTGATTTACATATATGCGTGCTGTATATATGTGCAAACAAACAAACAAACAAACAAACAAACAAACAAACAAACAAACAAACAAACAAACAAACAAACAAACAAAACAAACAAACAAACAAAACAAACAAACAAACAAACAAACAAAACCAAACAAACAAAACAAACAAACAAACAAACAAACAAACAAACAAACAAACAAACAAACAAACAAACAAACAAACAAACAAACAAACAAACAAACAAACAAACAAACAAACAAACAAACAAACAAACAAACAAACAAACAAACAAACGAGTCAACAAATTTAAATTTCCATGCATGTGACTGCTACTTAAATTTTACTTGTTGCATAAAACAAACTATAAAATATGAACCAATGCATATAGCAAGAAATGTTTTAGCTATCGAAAATGAAATTGTTGCTAGATTACTAAGTGCATTGATGTACTTATAATTCCGTTCAACAACTCGTTACGATGTTGAAAGCGACAACCTTGTGTAATTGCACATACCAACAACCTTTCAATAGTTAAGAGTTAAGCTGTCAACCGTTTGGTACACGTGGCTGACACATCTTGTTAACACAAGGTGATATATTCTTTCGTTTGTTCCAAATCGACTGCTCAGATTACCACAATGTTCTCCTTTCTGCCTGTGCTTCTACAAACAACATGCACGGTTTCTCTAACGACTTTCCTCCTATATCATTCTATATCATTTCTGCAACTGGCGAAGGCTCGCGTATATAGGTGTATAACTGGATGATTGCAGTTTTCTCATTTTCATTTCCATGTTATTTATAAACTAGAAACTAAAAGCATGGTGATATATGGCGGCAGGTCACGTGTCCGAATTTTTTCACCTTTCGTCGCTTTATAGCCTTCATTACATTGAGCATTGTTCAGTGGCGAAATCCACTGTGGTGCTAATTTCAGCTAAGTTGGGTACCGTAGTTTTCAGCTAAGTTGGGTACCGTAGTTTTCAGCTAAGTGCAAACACGACAGGCAAACCATGATCGAACTGTCACAACAGTAGCTTAGAAAGAATATTTAAGTCAGGAGGGCCGGCTGAAAATGAGGGCTCCGGAGTCATCCTCCACCGGAAGAATTTGAAAAATTGAGACTCGGAAATGCCATGTCCAGCATTTTCTAGCACCGAATTGAAGAATTTGGACCACAAAAATGCTCCAAAAATTGCTTCATAATTGGTTTTGGCCCACTTTTACTTCTGGTGGGGCTATACCACGCCCCCTATTCTGCCGCCCCTGTCATTGACATTGCTTTAACGGCAGGGCTCGAATTTTATCGCGGCAATTGCCGTAGAGGGAGAACAAAATGCCGTGGATCATTGTGGCAACGACGGCAATTTTTTGCCGTATAGTGTAATTTTTATAGCCTACTAATCACTGTGCATTACTAGTTTGATACTTGAATTCAGATGTTGATCAAATCATGCGTAAATCACTATTTTAGTCAGTTTTCTTCGAAAAAAAAACACTAAAGAAATACGTAGACATGTTTCTAGGTTGTCGAAAATCCCAAGTAACAATAAAACTAAAGTTTTATTACAGTAATTTGAAAAATGCCGTAGAAACTGCCAAAATTGCCGTAGACAGCTTTTACGTTCTGCGGCAATTTTTAACGCCATTGCCGTCGATTGATTTCAGGGAAATTCGAGGCCTGTTTAACGGTATGAAAATTTAAATACTAGAAACCTGGCTCAAATGCAGTAGAAACAACAGCTAGATACGGACTAATTAAGAAAGTCTCGAAGAAAGTCTACTTTGGATCAGTAATGTATTGCAGACACCTTTGGTTTGTATTGCAAAAAGAAAAATTCACACGAATGCAAAAAAATAAAGAGCTTGTAATTTCCTGTAATAATTGTAATATTGGGCCGAAACTCTATTCATCAAGCAATGCCCAACAGAACTCAAACGTGATATGAATGAATTTATTTTGTTTTATAATTGGAGAAACGTATTGATGTCTGCGAGGAATTCCGTTTTCTAGTCTAATTTGAACAAGGTCATCAGATAAAAGGCTTTTCATTCATTTATATTCAATTGAGAAAATCTGATATCTTCAATACCTTGCATCGAGCAGCAAAACAAACCACCCAAGAGAGACGGACAGGCTAGTTCAATAGACAATAGTCAATGTTATACCGATGTCGCCGTCCATCACGTCATCACATCGCTTCATTGTGAATTGATATTCGCCTTGATAGGCGAAATTAAGATCCAAAGGTGCGAAGAAAAGGGCAGTTCTATTGAACAAAATTTAACAAAATTGAAAGAAATATATTAAAGACTATAATAGGATGTTTGTACATTGACATTTATCATTACAATTATTTTTTAAAGACATTTTTTTAAAAAAGTTGTATATATTATTCCAGTATCTAAGTGGCTGACGTCATAACTGAGACGTAGTATTAGACTATTAGTATTCTTATATGCAATGCCAATGATATATAAGCGTTTATGTTATTTAGAATATTTACCAATGGCAATTGTGTGCATATATCTTGTCTTAATAACTCAACAGTTTTATATAAGGTTAAATGATACCGGCGCTCTGACAACTGAGTTACACTGGGACCATTTACACACAAATATATACTCGTGCATATTCCATCATCGGCTGTTTTAGAGCATGCATGCTGCCTGCTGGTACAATTGATGAAAGCAGAGAAATATCGTACCTGAATCTATATTTTGTCTTGTCAAAGCAATGGAAATGAATACATATGCATGCATCGTGCAACCTCATGCTAAATTAATTTAATATCAAGTTTTGTAATGATTCGGGTTGAGGACGTACTTACCGGTATCGTAGCGAAACGTACTGGTGAGCATGCGCAGATTGAAAAGAGGTTTATAAATCCACGTACTTACGGATGTATTCGCGTATCAAAATAAAACGTTCGTCGCAAGTCAACTTTCTGGCGTACTACGGAAGTACTAACCAATCAACATTCACGAAATTTTGACATTTAAAAAACATTTTTGATACGTTTCGGTACGGTACGCTTGAAGTGGAAAACCGGCTTTAGTCGTTTTATTGCACACGACAAGAATTTCAATAGCCTCGAATGACCCTTACAAGTTGAGTTACAACGGCTCCAAGCATACGACATACGTCTTCCATTTCAAGTGATAATATTTTGCTTTAATGCCTTTTTACGGACAAATCTATGTTGAAACGAGTGTTGAAAGATGTTTTTATGTATATATTGACCAAATGATTAAAATTTTCACGATATTAACTAGTGTTGAAATCAATAAGACAATATAGTCAATATACAATATATAATTTGGATAGTAGCTTAAAAGTGAATCGGGGATTATTTTAACGTGCAGTGATAACCAATTTGTGCAGTGATAAATGAGATTTTGTGCAGTGATGAATGAGATTTTGTGCAGTACTTCAATACTTAACTACAGGTGATTTTAATTCGTGAAAGGAGTGCATATAATTTATCACAAATTACGTTTAAATTGTTCAAAAGCATGATAAACGCAAGGAAGACAATAAGTTATGCCGGTTTTCACTTAAGGTTTTCAAATTTTATATCGAATTTTATATGACATAATATTCAATCTTTTAAGATGGAATGTATAAAAAAAATTGCGTCTGAAAATGCAAGATATCAACTTTTGGAGGCTAAAAAGTACGACAATTTTCTGGATAAGGACTTCCAGGTCCTCCGAAAAGTTCTGTCGTTTGCAATTTCCCATCACCTATAATTGGGTCACTTTTCTTAGGTTCCCATTTACAAATTGCACTGAATAACGTATAATCTAGAGAGCTGTATACTCAGCGCTCCTTCGGCGCTATGTGACATGCTGCTATTTTATGTGGTTTTTTGTGCAGCAATAAAATTTCTTTAAAATAATCCCTGAAGTGAACTACGACATTGAATCATGCATCACCCATTCACGGCTTACCGTTGCAATAAAACTCAAACTTTAAACTGAAAACCGTAAGAAACAATTAGAAAGTTCAAATGAAACAGTATGAAACAAAATTTATGAACAACAGTATATAAACAATCTGATACGAAATTGTTTAGTAAGATCCTGCGTGTGTTTACTGGATTACTTTAGATACCAAGAAGAAAATTGGGGTATTAATTTGATTATAATGGTTAACTTAATTCTGGAAGGAATTTTAGGCAAGGAAACAACGCAGATTGAATTGCGTGTTGTCATCTTCATGTACACTCCAAATCATGCACTCGAAATGACATCTTGAAGTCTCCTAAACCTTCCCATGTAGCTGACCTCCTCGCAGCGAGATAAACAAGGCCGTCATCATGTGTTTCCTTTTTTTAAACAGCATGAGAACATTTATAACATCCTTTTACCATTATGGAGGGTCAAAATGTATAATTAATTCCACCAGCACTGTAACAGTGGACGCATGGTCCTTATTATATAAATTACCAGAGGGCACTCGAAGATTGGTCCTCACACTGGCCATCGAAATTACTCTTTGAAATTTTGTTACGCACTATAATATATTCACTGTAAAAATACCAGTGGGTCACACACACATAAACTAAGTTAAACTTTAAATGTGGTATTTTGTTCAGAATCTGAACATAGTTAATATAGAAGTCTGAAGAACATGCCACGTTCAGAAAGAAAAGAAACATATCCAAAGAATGGAAGGGAAGCCAACTGCATTTAATCTTCCTCATCTCTCAACACCTCAACACCTCTTGTTAGAGTCCGCCTACCACTTATAATTTTTTTGTTTTAAATACTTGATTCTTTTTTCAACGAGACAAGAGGTTACATCAAAGATGTTAATTGAATAAATACAACTTTTTTCTTCTATCTCCGGCTTTGTTATTTCAACATCTTGACCTAAAGATGTAAGCATTTTTAACTCGGTTAACACTTTTGCTTCTTCGGCGTCTTTTCTGATCAGTGGGTGGGCCATAGACTTTATTATGCATGAGTATTAGTTGCTGACGCATAAATTGAAAGGTAAGTAGGAACTTGGATTGTGTTAATATGTGGTGGAAAAAGTATCTGACCGTGGTCACTTGATCCCCTCAAGAAATTTTAAATTATCAGAAACGTTTTGGATAGAGGGAGTAAGAAAGGAAGACAAAATGAACGAATGAATGAAATAGACTGCACGAAGAAATAAAGGAAGAAACAAAACTGACATGTGGGAGAAATGGTGAAGGGAGGAGGGAATATAGATGGACTAAATTGCAGTGCAGATGTGAGGTCAACAAGGGCTGAAGTTAAATAATGTATATATAAGTACTAAATTGGCCATTTATAGACTGACTAAATAGACTGACTCGATAACCGTTGGCATTTACGCTTTGTTTCCAGTTCTTGACAAGTTAGCCACATGCCGACAATGGTCAGAGAGAGTAATTATTTTCTCCAAGGCTGTTTGTAGTTTTGTTTTGAATATACTCTACGACTACCCGACTACGCCTACTACAAAGATGCAGGTTGAGAGGGATTCAACTACCTCAAAAATACAAGTTGTATTTATTTGTATTTTTCAGGTAGTTGAATTCCACTCAATCCATAACTTTCTGGTGTTATTGTCACAAGTAGGTTGGCACAGAGAATTCAAGTTATTACTTATACTAAATACGGGGATAACAACTGTTGTATTGAAAGTTGATTTGTTTGGAAACTCGAAAACTGATTGGATTTGAATTGAAAACAGAAAACTTGAGATTGGAACATTTGAACTTTTTTATTACAGCCTGCTTGGATTAGATATAGTTACTGTAAGCCGTGTTCAGATTAAGACCAAGTTGAACCCACTTTTGTTCGTAGCAAACGAAAAGAATTGAGGATAATTCGTTTGCTCTTAGTGTTAGATGTCAGGAAAATGCCAGAACCCTTGCTAGCCTCACTAACTCAATGAGAAGCTGAAGATATTTCGGACATCTAAGTTGTACCCTGTGTGGCGGTTGTACTCATTATTAAGCTGGAAACAAAACAACAGAACAACAATATGTCATTGAGAGTAGTTGCATTGTATAACTCATGATAAAGATTGCTTCACAATTATGTTGTCTCTTTCTTAGTTGTTCGTGGATCATGCTACAGCAGTTACAAGAAATGTGATCATCATTGTGTTGAAGTTACTGTTGGTCGTGGAGAATGTCGATGTAAATCACAATTCAAGTTAGACACTGATGGAAAGTCATGTAAAGGTACGTGATTACGAGGTGGGGCAGTATAGTCAGTGAGGGTTATCTGAAGATTTGAGTGATTATGGAGGTATTGCCAGTGGAAGGGGCGGGGGGTGTCCAAACGCTTTGTGTATTTAAACTGACTAAACTGAAAGTAAATTCGGAAGTTTCTGTGGATCAATATAGACAGAAATAAAATAAAAACTTTCTGAATTTTAAACAAGTTATTATACTCTATAAATTAATGTAAGTATATTTTTCTTTCAGCAATATTATACCGCAATCCATGTACATTGAATAATGGCAAAGTTTGTGAGCATTCTTGTCTTCGAGTTCCTAATACAGTCATATGTACATGTCCAGATGGTCACTATCTACACAACAATAGATACAAATGTATTGGTAAGTGTCGAATATCTATGTAGAGACCTCAACATTGAGATTGGACGTTTTATTTCAAATTACAATAAAACAATATGGAGATTAAGATTGAAGTACGAACTTGGAGATGTATAAGCCACCACCTTGTTTCAGAGCTGTGCTTTACAGTTGGTTCCAAACACAACTTTTCGTTTTTTTGTTTCAAAATGAGTGCAACATGAAGCTAAGAAAATGTTTTAAGCCAGATATTTTCGATGCCGAAATAAGTTTAATAACATTTCAATTTTAAAATTCTGTAGATGTGAATGAATGTTCGATGTCTCCATGTCAACATGAGTGTCATAATACACCTGGATCGTATTATTGTTCATGTTTCCCTGGATATTCCTTGGAATATGATCAAAAAACATGTAAAGGTAATAGCAAACATTGAGATTACTTTCCATTAATTATAACCTTACTTTACTGAAAATTTCCGTCTATTAATATTTGTCAATTTTGAAGACTACTTCACTAAATATTCTTCATTGATAAGAGAAAGCAAGGCCAGAACGACTGGGGGAGGGGCGCCCAATTTTTTCAAAGGGGGCCCCCAAATGCTGGAATTGCCGAACGTGTGAAAGTTTTTGGAACTTTGTGAAAAATTGAGGTTAATTTTGTAAAGGTTAAGGTTAAAAAATATTTGTAGCCTGTTTTTTCCGAACAACGGTTCGGCGGAAAAATTTATGGGGCCTGAAACGTGAAGGGCCACAAATTTCTGTGTTCACCCAAAGACATATCGGTGGCACGGCCCTGAGACAAAATCTTCTTCCCTTCGATATATGTAAATGCTCAAACGCTCTTCTCAGGTGGCTTTTATGTTATCTTTCTTTTGGGTTATCTGAACAAAGCCATCATGAACGATTTTACAATATGCTTCAATGTTAGTATTTTTGTTTTCAGCTGATCGAAGCAATGATTGTATTTCGTCAAATGACCCAAGTTGTATTACCCGTTGTCTTCGTCGAGATAATATGCAAGGTCAATGTGTGTGTCCTCCTGGTATGGCATTGCATAACGACAATGAATCTTGCATAGGTAACTGTTTGTTTACATTCAACCGTTGCTGATTTTCTAACAGGGTTTTTCCTATAAAGGCTGGAATATTTTCAAGAATAAATCTGAATTGCTTTCGCACTTTTCTAGTTCTTAAGTGCTTTTCACATGAGAAGACTGAAACCCAGTTGCCATTTCACTTCTAACGTCATACTTACCAAATGTTAGCCCAACATTGACTAAACGTGCCAAAGCCAGCCGAGTAAAGGGGTCTAGGCTGGGGGCTCTGGACCACACCTCCCATATACTTCAAGGGTCGTATATACTTCAATTAATCCCCTTTCTGAATCCCCATATCTATACAATTCACATCCTCGTATTAACGCACGTGTTGAATTAGATGTAGTTCTTTATTTGCAAAAGACACAGTAACTTAGTTTAGATGCAATATTTTTCAGAGAGCAATGGATGTTTAACATCAGAAGGATTCTGTCATCACAGTTGTGTGAGAACAGCTGCTGGCTTTTCTTGTGCCTGCAAAACAGGATTTATGTTGGACAGCAATTCTGTGACGTGTACAGGTAGATATCTAGAAATAAAGTAGTATCTCTTCGTGTAAAATGTTATGCAATTAGGAAGGTCTCACAGTAAAATTGCTTATTGATGTATATCGTAGGAATTGAGAATCACTGCATTTAGTTACGACTACCAACGTTATGTAACCGGGAGATATCTAACAATTATGATGTTTTTGTAGACATAGATGAATGTAGCATTGGTGAACATAATTGTGACAAAGGATGTTTAAATGTTCCTGGCAGTTATCATTGTTCATGTCCACTTGGATTTAAATTAAATAAAGATGGCCACACCTGCTCAGGTATTCATATTGTTATGTGTAGCTTTAAAACTGCAGAATTGCATTGTTGCCTAGACATTTACAGTATTTTCGCCATGCTTAAATCAAAAATTTAACACGCCTAGCCATTAGGATGCCCACCTTCGCAATTTTACATTTCTTCGTCCCCAACGCATGAGGCAGAAAAAAGGACTAAAGGAGTAAAGCCTAAACTATTCAAATTCTAAGGTCAGAACTGGTGAAAGTTTTATATGATCTAAATCGCATACGAAATGCGATCTAAAGACTGGCTGTTATTTCTGTCCAATTTATTTATTTTCTTATCATTCTTTTGTCGTTAGATATCGATGAATGTTTATTGAAAACAGATCTGTGTAAATCTCCAGCTAAATGTCGAAATACTGAAGGAGATTACAGATGTGAGTGTCCCACTGGATATCAACTTAATTCGACTAATGAATGCGTTGGTGAGTATATTTTAAAACTTTAGTATATACTGCATGTATGTATGTGTATCACTTGTCTACAACTGTGTTCCACAGCTTTTATATAATAGAGAAATTTAGTTTAACCAGACATAGTATTATAGTGCGGTGCCCTGGTACATGCATGCGCAAAACATGTGTACCACAAGCGCGAAGACGTACTATTTATGAATAATACTAATAGACTAACGAACTAATAAACAAACAGACTAACAAACTAATAAACAAACATACTAACAAACTAACAGACCAACAAACTAACGAACTAATAAACAAACAGACAGACAGACAAACAAACTAACAGACCAACAAACTAACGAAGTAATAAACAAACAGACTAACAAACTAACAGACCAACAAACTAACGAACTAATAAACAAACAGACAAACAAACTAACAGACCAACAAACTAACGAAGTAATAAACAAACAGACTAACAAACTAACAGACCAACAAACTAACGAACTAATAAACAAACAGACTAACAAACTAACAGACCAACAAACTAACGAAGTAATAAACAAACAGACAAACAAACTAACAGACCAACAAACTAACGAACTAATAAACAAACAAACAGACTAACAAACTAACAGACCAATAAACTAACGAACTAATAAACAAACAGACTAACAAACTAACAGACCAACAAACTAACGAACTAATAAACAAACAGACTAACAAACTAACAGACCAACAAACTAACGAACTAATAAACAAACAGACTAACAAACTAACAGACCAACAGACTAACGAAGTAATAAACAAACAGACAAACAAACTAACAGACCAACAAACTAACGAACTAATAAACAAACAGACTAACAAACTAACAGACCAACAAACTAACGAAGTAATAAACAAACAGACAAACAAACTAACAGACCAACAAACTAACGAACTAATAAACAAACAAACAGACTAACAAACTAACAGACCAATAAACTAACGAACTAATAAACAAACAGACTAACAAACTAACAGACCAACAAACTAACGAACTAATAAACAAACAGACTAACAAACTAACAGACCAACAAACTAACGAAGTAATAAACAAACAGACTAACAAACTAACAGACCAACAAACTAACGAACTAATAAACAAACAGACTAACAAACTAACAGACCAACAAACTAACGAACTAATAAACAAACAGACTAACAAACTAACAGACTAACAAACTAACAGGCTAACGAACTAATAAACAGACAGACTAACAAACTAATAGACTCCCGCAGCGAATAAACTTTTTTGGTGACCGCAATATATTTTACCACGTTTCACAGTTGACTACAGCTAGTACGATTCTTCATTTGCAAGATAGTCAAGTCAACTGTTTACGGCAAACTGACTGCTGAGCAACAAGTCAATATTATTAGCACTGCAGATGAAGATCCTGGCTAACGGATCGAAAGATTTGCAGTAATAAATTTACGTGGGGTTTCCACAAAGAAAAAGTATTATATGTTTTATCGCCATGCAATCCTACAATGAACTAATCATTTATTTGTATGCACCACGTCATGTAATTCGGTTTGGGATAATCATTTCAGTGGTTGTAAATGTTGCGTTATCAGCGTTACCCATGTACACAATTCATGTACACTATGATTTGATTGCGTATAGAAATGACTGCTGGGGTCATATTTCATACTACTCATTAACACTACTTTTTAGCTGATGATCAAATTTAAATGTGATATTTTATTTCTATGTACCCTCTACCTAGGCTCAGATTCCAGCCGTTGTGTTCTCGGCGAGTGGCGAGAACACAACGGCTGGAATCTGAGCCTACCCTCTACCATGGTCTGGCTGTTTCTCTGATCCAGTCTACTGCGCTATTTGATCAGTTTAAATTTTCAAAATGAAATCTTGAATTAAATACCGTGCTCTTACCATAAACACCAATTTTGTTCAGAGGGCCACAGGTTTTCAGTGTAAACTGTTATGTGCTATATATATAAAAAAATGGTGTTATTATTATTATTATTATTATTAGTATTAGTATTATTATTATTATTAGATATGAATGAATGTTTATTGAATAACGGCGGATGTGAACAGACATGTCTTAATGTCCCTGGTAGTTGTCAATGTGGTTGTCACTCAGGATATCGTCTTAGCAATGATATGAAAACTTGCCAAGGTAGGAAACATATCTTTCCCTCTGGGTACTCGCAAGTTGCTCCCCCCCCCCCCTGTCTGTACGTTTATCCTATGATTACCAGAACCTTGCAGAACAAATTTATGACATTAATGTCCCATAAACTGTAAACAATCTGCGTAAAATGTCATTCGTGTTGTCTCTTGTCCAGTCTTTCTGTAAACTTGCGTAATTAGATTTCACCAATACAGAATTCTTGTTTTTTCAGACATCGACGAATGTACAGATTTTCCAACAATCTGTGGTCACAACTGCACCAACACCCCCGGGGGATATAAATGTACTTGCCCCCCTGGAACGAGAAGCATTGATAATGGAGGTTTATGTTTGTGAAATGAAAACTGTTCAAAGTTAGATGGTAATTTATTACAAGATGTGTTCTCCGTGTGATATAGACAAAGAGTGAAACACATAGCCACTAATACTGTATTTGCTATGGTACACAGGCTAACCAAAATGGCTGATCTTGTTTCAAAGATACTGTGATTGAATCCAGATGGAGAAAAAAACGCTGGTATCACTTTTGCTAGTATGGTGCAAAATGACATCGTTTACAAAAGTAAACAAAATTCTTAATTTGCAAAGAATTTTTTTTGTAAATATACAAATTGTAGTGTAGTGAATTAGTGAATATATACGCAAGCACTATAATGCCTCGGTCAAACGAGGATGACTGGATGAGAGTTGATGAGAAGTGGCAGTCACGCATTGTTACAGGGGACATTTCAAGCTCTAGATTAACGAAATAAAGGTTTGATGTGTGTCCAACTATGTTTTAACTTAAATACAATACATGATAGTTGTTGGGAAAACATTAAGAACAGCTAACTAAGGTCACGTGACTGCCAACTCTCATGCACTCTCATTCTCGTTTGATCCAGGCTTAACGGTTGCGCGCTATACTGCGGTATTTTAGAGCTAGAGGTGATCTGGCGCGTTCCTTGAGCGCATCCCAATGGAAAAGATATAATCGCCAATAGTCCAATATACCTTTGCACTTTCAGGCGGAATTACGCAAAATTTTGACTTGCCTGCATTCTGACAATTTTGTTTGAAATAGCAGACATCGCGTGCATATATCGCGTTTCGTCTCTCAGAGCGAACTCAATATGATTGCCTGTGCAAACTGAAATGTAATTCTCTTTGTTGACCACACGGTACTATCTGTGTCTGAGTATATTACGTTTTTATTCAACTTTAAAATGTCCATAATTTTGATCCAGACATATTTCTAGAATCATATAGTCTAGAATTAAAGGTTAGATTATTGAATGATTGAAAGCATTTGTTTTTATAAAAAAGGCATTGGAATGATCGCACCTTGATCAAGCATATGTAATTACTATGTTATAGAATATTTAAGAACAATAATATTGATTTATCAATTAATTAGGACATATTGATTAGTTTAATGAATCAGATTAACAATTGCAATGTAAACTTTAATTACAATGTATCATAAAGTTCTACAAAAATACAGAAATATAAA